GTCGTTTCAATTTTGTTAACGTATTGTAATTTCAGATTTTCCGTTTCTTCTAGTTTCATCGTGATTTCTGCTTGTTCTAATTTGTCTACTAGTTTTCGAAAATCTAAATCGGGTTCTCGAATTGAAGAAGGATGGGATGCTCTCTTTTTTATTGCTATTTTCCTTAATTGTGGTGTTAAGGTCATCATTAAGATTTCTGTCATCTTTGTGTTTTTATAGTCATGTGTATTTAGTGAGTATGCTTTTCGAACTAGTGTTTCGATTCGTACTGCTATTTGCTTGATGGTTTCGTTTGGTAATCTGCGAATTTCATTACATAAAACTCTTTGTTGTTGTTTGTTTCTTTCGGAGTCAAACATTTTTGAAAATTCTTGTGTAAATCTTTTCCAGTTTGATTTTATTTCTAGAGGTAGTACTGAAAACCATTTTTGGGCTGCGCCATCTAAGGTTGTTTGTATCAACGCTGTGCGTCGATGTATCCAGTTTTGATGTAGTGGCGTATTAATTGGTTCAGGTCCAATGTTTAAAATCAGGTTTGCTGTTACTGCATTTAAATAATCTTCTACAGAATATTCAGGGTCTGTTCCTGTGAAAACCATTAAAGGTTTGTTTGATGTTATTGATGATCCACCCATAAGGTATGGATTCATTGTCATTTGTAATGATTCTGCTGCATTTGGCATTTGAGAAAAATTTGAAAGTTGGTTTCTTGTTATTTCATGTTGTTGAAGATAATATGGGAGTGGTATTTCATTTTGCATTTGTGATGGTTGATACGAGTGTGCAGTCATTGGATTTTGTTGTTGAATTGGTTGAAAAGATTGTGTATTAATTGGATTTTGTTGTTGAATTGGTTGTTGATGTTGTGCATCTATCGGTTGTGGAGAAAAATTCCTATGATTTGTACGTGTTTTCTGTATTCCTTGTCTACGATATTCTTGAGTATTTGGTGCAAATATATCTGGTTGTAAGAAATCATCATCTGAGGATAAATAATCCATTTGGTAAGATGTTTGTTTTTTACTTTTATTTTGTTGAAAAAATGGGTAATTTTCACTGCGATCCTGTGGAGGATTTGGTTGAAAATTTTTGGAATTATATTGGGCCGTTGGGTTATCCCAGTTTCGAGGTTTTGTATATTGATTAAAATTCCTTTGTGGTTGATAATTTGTTTTTGACGGATGTGTATAATTATAATTATGGTCTGCAAAGTTGTTTCTAGTGAATGTTTTGCGTGTTTTTGATGGTATTGTCATGGGTCTGTATGTTTGGTAATCCATATGTGAATATTTAGGGGCAGCCGAAGGTTTAACGGTTGATTGTAAGGTTACCTGTGTTTGTGAAGGATTTGTATTTCTTGGTGTTGTTAAATTTGGGCGTATTGGTGAAATACTTTGTTGTGTAGTTGTTGTGTGTACAATTTCTTCATTTATGAAGTGTGATGGTGTCTGTATATCTTGTTGAGTAAGATTCCTAGTTCCATTGAGGTTTTCATTGTGTATAACTGTAGAGTTTAAACTATTATTTTGTGTATCGGGTAAAAATGTATTATAGTTTAATGGTGTTGCATCAATTGTTAATGGTATTACTCTTACATAGTCTCTTATGTAAGATATCGTACTTATTGCTTGACTTGAGATTGATTGTGGGAAGCTTATAAATGCGGGATGAGACCATTCGGGGTCCCAAACATAATCTGATTGTTCTGTGATAGCGGTATCATCGTTCGAGTTTTGGGGTCTAAAATTTTTTCTTGCTTGTGCAATTAAATCAATATTATGTGTGAAATAATCTATTATGAACCATGCCAAGATTTTTTGTAAATCGTGTTTGGTATGTTGTGAAACGTCGTCTTTCGTGAAATTTTCTTTAATGATGTTTAAATAACTAGAGAGTAGTGTGATTTCATGTCGTACTCTTAAATGTTTAGATGTTTCTGTCGGTGAGACATTTGTTAATGGGAGTTCATTTTCTAATATCGAAATATAACTATATATTATTGCGAAAACTTCATTGGTGAAAATGGAGTTTGCTCTTTGTGAGTTATGGTATTGGATGCTTTTTATATATTCTGAAAAAACTTTTGAAAATTCTAAATCAAGATCGTCTGTTTGAATAGTATATGTTCTATTATTATGGTTTGGGGAAGTGAATTCTATAGAGTAGATTCCATACTGTTGTGTTATGTTGCATATATCTTTTAGATAGTGATCTATGATTTGTCTTTTGATTTTTACATCGGGGAACTCTGTTTTACATGGACTAATTCCGGGTTCAAATAAATTTACGAGTAAATTTTGACAAAATATGTGTTGTCCTCTATCGGTATCTGCATCTACTATAAAAGGAAAGATTTCATCATCATCTGGAGTTTCTTCACCTGGAGTGTGCGTTGAGCTCATTTTTTCGTTCGATGACTGTTAATATGTAATTATTAATGTGTCGAATTGGTTGATTCCAATTGTATAGATGTACTGGTTTGTGTTTGTACTGTTTTTTTATTCTTCTTTTTCCTCTTTGTGATGAATTTGAAGTTGTTTCTGAGTCAGAAAAATATAATTGATCGTGAAGTGGGTAATTTTTATCTATTGATTCTTTTAGTTTGTAAAGTTCGTCTAAACTGTTGGTTTCTGATTCTGAAAATGCGTTTCGATTTTTTGAAAATCTTTTTCGTGTTATTTGTCTTTGTTTAGTTATTATTTTCCTCTTTAGTGTTTGTCGTTTTGTTCGAATGTATCCAACTGTTTGTGTATGAGGTGTGATTACAAGGTCGTATTTTTTGTTATCTATTTCACAATTGTGTAAAACGATTGTTTGTTTATTTCCTAGGTTTTTAAATGACATAAGGTTTAGAATGACGGATGCAAAGGGTTGTTAAATGATTTCTATTTTCCTAAACTGTTAGTTCTTACGATTTTTTGGTTAGCTTAACCTGGGTCTATTTGTTCAGGGTTGGAGAGAAAAGTATATCGATTCCGAAGAATGATTTTTACTTTCTCGTGACTAGTATAAGCTAAGGTGTTAACTTACTTAATCTTACTTAGGGGTAGTGATTGTGTTCAAGGGTTGGAGAATAGTAAATCGATCCACAAGGTTCAGGTATAATTAGAACGCGAGTAGTTCGTTAGATACTATTTTAAACTTACTAAGTCTAAGATTTATCCTGGGTCTGGTAAGAGGGGGGGTCAAGTGAAGGATGAATAACCGAAGTTCTTCACTATTTATCTTAATTTGAATGATTAGTTTTGTTTAAAAATTTCTATTAGTCTTGGGTCTTTAGAAAGGGTTGGGTAGCGAATCGACGTTTGAGGTCGTTAGACACTAATTAAGTGGGTGGGGGAGAACAAAGTTGTTCTGTTTGATCCAAGGATAAGCCTTGATGATCAAGTTTGAAATTTAATTAAGTAGAAAATGATTTAAGATCCAAGGATAAGCCTTGATGATCTGATTTTAAATTAAGTGACTTTAAGTTTTAATAAAGTTTTAAATTTGTGTAAAGGAAAGATTTAGTGTTTTATGATGTTAGTGAGTTGATGATTGCTGTTATGTTTTAGGTGATGAAGCTGGAACAACAGGATGATTTATGATTACTAACCATTTATTGTCATGCTACTAATTTTTATTTTTATTTTCCAATAAATATTTTTCAAACATGTTTTGTATGATACTGCAGAGTTTTAGGAAAACGATCTTAGATCTTTTTATCAATCGTTATTGTATAATATTAATTTTGTTTAGCGCCTGAAATGATTTTGAAGAGTAACTTCAAGGTTTTATGTTTGCAAATGGAAATCTAAATTCATTGCAAGTAGTATTCGAAATATAAAAGTTTGTTCTGGCTTTTGCCGAACTATCATATAACTATACGGCAAGTTTCTACTTTGTCGTATGTCGTCTTTGGTTCGAGGTCTTCTTCCAATTCCGGGTAGTTCTGTTATGGTTCGGAATATTGGCTCTGATCTATTGAGTCGGAGAGACATTTCAATTAAATTATTGTCGTATAACATTTTGTAAATGTTTTTGTCTAATTTCTAATCTATTTTTGGTTAATTCTAATCTAGTAAGGTCTTGTTCGAGACTTATGGTCGCACCAGATGAGTTAGGACCGAAGTGTAACTCATAGAGTAATTTCGGATAGGGTACACCGTCTGCTCGTCACGCTATCTTATTTTCGGCCGGATAGATTCGTGCAACTTCTTAGTCTAATACCGATCCTAATCTTACTCTTATACTATCTAGTCTCAGGTTGTTTAACTAGTCTCTGCTAGGCTCAATAGATCTAGGGTATACTGGTTTATTGCGGCTGCTGAAGTGCTCGGGAGAGTCCAACTAATTTCTAAGTTAAATTCAAATCTCTCTGGTGCTGAAATTACAAGTAACTTCAGCACTTACAAATAAGTGGGTTGTTAGTTAGATGGATCATGATTGGTTAATATTAAATACTTTACATTGGTAAAACATTTAATTTATCCAATCATAAAATATAGTTTAGATCAGGTTCCACTTGATTCTTTTTAAGCCTTGTTTTTTGAAGCCCGAGTCGAGATTTTTCACCTAATTTGAAGCAAGATTTGAGCGGTTTGAGCGGTTTTTTTAAACGATTACGCTCAAAATTTTGCTTCAAAAAGAACGGTTTGAGCGGTTTTTGAACGGTTCATCTAAAAAAACGGTTTGAACGGTTTTGAGCGGTTTATCCAAAAAAAACGCTCAAAAACCGTTCATATCTTGCGCGGTTTTTGAGCGTTTTTTTTGGATAAACCGTTCAAAAACCGCTCAAACCGCTCATTTTGAAGCAAGATTTTGAGCGTAATCGTCTAAAAAAACCGCTCAAGCCGCTCAAATCTTGCTGGAAAACCGCTCAAACCGCTCATATCTTGAGCGGTTTTTGAGCGGGATCTCGACCCGAGAGGGAATTATTCTTCAGTTTTTGTTTTCTGGACTCTAGTGTTTGATGATTGAGGCTGCAAAACTATATCATTATGCCATATCATTAAAATCGTCCAATAAATAGATTAAATTTGAAACCAAAAAGTACATTAAGTAACGCTATTATGTAAGAATAAATCATCTAAACTAATTCAAAATACTTCCAAAAATATCATCCATGTCAAAATTAGAAGCATTTCCTATGCACGATGCTGGGTCCACATTCGTCGTACTCGTCTTTGGATACCCACATTTGCTGGAAAGAAGACAGAGAAGTCAGAATGGAACCTCCAATCCAGACGCTGTATTTCCTTTCAGGAGGTGCAACCACTTTTACTCTCACTCGATCCCCGTTCAGATCTCTGAGTTCCTTCTCCAATCGCTGTTCCAGTCCCGGGAACATCGTGGTGCCACCGGAAAGCACAGTGTTGTAGAAGAGATCTCTGCGGATGTCGACGTCGCATTTCTGGATTGCTTTGTAAGTCATCTCATGGACTCCTGAACCTGGTTCCATCCCTGTCAACTCTGGCTTGAACAAAACTTCAGGACATCGGAACCTCTCGCTGCCAATTGTGATCACTTGTCCATCTGGCAGCTCAAAGTTTTTCTCAATCGTACTTGATTTGCCGGAGTCTATCGTTTCTTGCTCGAAGTCATACGCAGTATAGCACAGTTTCTCTTTGATGTCCCGAGCTATTTCCATTTCAGCTGACGTCACGAGGTTGTAGCCCCTCTCGTGAAGAATCCGAGCGAGGTAGTCTGTCAAGTCGCGACCTGCGAGATCCATTCTTTGGATGGCATGGGGCAAAGAGTATCCTTCGTAGATTGGTACTGTATGCGCGACACCATCGCCGATGTCCAAAACGCACCCAGTGGTTCTTCCCGAAGCGTACAGTGACAGCACCGCTTGGACTCCGACATACATCGCTGGAGTATTGAAGGTCTCGAACATGATTTGAGTCATTCTTTCTCGGTTCGCTTTCGGATTCAGAGGCGCTTCAGTCAGGAGAACCGGATGATCCTCGGGTGCGACTCGGAGTTCGTTGTAGAACGTATGATGCCAGATCTTCTCCATATCGTCCCAGTTCGTCACGATTCCATGTTCGATTGGTTTCTTCAGACACAAGACTCCTCGTCTTGACTGAGCTTCATCTCCAACGTAGGTGTCTTTGCCTCCCATGCCGACCATTACGCTGTCGTATTTGGGTCGGCCCACAATCGAGGGAAAGACTGCCCGCGGCGCATCGTCGCCAGCGAAGCCAGCTTTGACCATGCCGGATCCATTGTCAATGACAAGTGCTGCCGTATCAAAATCTTCAGCAGACATTGTAGTTTAATAAGTCGAGTCAAGTTTGCAATATTCTACTCTTTTTTGATGAGATTTTATCACAGTAAGCGATTATATTCGTGAAGAAAAACCGAATAATTGTTTCAAATTTTTTACTATTGGAAAAAGTTTGATCTAAAGTTTTGCTCAATATCTAGTTATTTATACTCATTATTTTGTGTTCGCTGAACGAAGCTGGAGTTCCGCTGAAAAAGTAATGCAGTGACCAAATTTGCATCATTTTCTCTGAAGAACGGTTGGCTGAGCAATCAGTTTGAAGAAATGATCTCTGTTTATATTTATACCAATGATGACGCTTGGTTTAAAAATAGCAAGCTTAAATACAAACTGAGCAAATTACTTGGTTCTCTTGTTAGGTATATAGAAAGGTTTTATTTAATGTTAAACGTGATTTTGAGGTAGATCAATATGGTTTTTTGGAGGATAAATTGATCTGTTTTCAAGCACCTGTAAATAAATGATAAATTTAAGAAAACTACTCAACAGAACAGATAAAAAATTTACTACACTAAAAAGTAACTCAGTTTTTGCTCGCAATTAGATAAACAATACACTAAAAAAGTTCACCTTCAAAAAATCAATAATTGCTTAGTTTTTATCTTACTGACCAGTTGGAATCAAGCAAAATTTAATATTAAGATCACCGAAGAAAACTTTAAAATTTGTGTTATGATATCGAATCAAAAACTTGAGAGTGTCGAATTATGACAAACAACAATCAAACAGCAAAAAAATTTATTGAATTTGAACGAAGTGACAGGCAAAAACAATAAACCGATTGAAGATATGACTGCGACTTACAAGCAGATGACTTGAAGATATTTTTTTATCAGTGGGTCCAAAATGAGCTGAAAAAATTGCCCCAATTTCAACAATTTGAAAAACAAGTCCGATTCATCTGTTTTCAATTTCACCACTGGTAATGAGGTGTTCAGCACACTGAAAAAACGGATTGCGAAATCTTCAGACAATAACTTTGCTCATTTCAATTACCTACTAAAACAATTAGCCACAGTTCTCAGCCCCGTGCTGACAACAATTGCCATTACTTGTATAGATCAGAACTGTTTTCCAGCTTCCTCGACACTGTCCAAAGCTATTCCACTTTTCAAATCTCGTTCTCGAAAAAAAACACTCAAAATTTTGACCATTTTTGTTATTGTCAATCCAAGGGTAACTTTATGAAAAAGTTTGGCAAAAAGGTATGCGAGCGTTTTTCTCAAAATTTGAATTGCTGAATGAGGATCAATCTGTTTTTTTTTTGAAAAATTAAAGTACTGTAGAAGCCAAAAGGTAGTTCAAATAAATGGTCAGGTTAAAAATAAAAATGGAAAAATCACCATTACGAGGCCAATCTGCGCACTGAATAAGCGCACAATTTTGTTTTTGTATGCTCCTGGATTCAATAGACAAATCTCATGTTACAAAACGTGAGTGGACTCTACTTTAAAACAAATACCTGTAACGTAAATTTTGTCGGCACATTTTTTGTGCCGCGGATTCAGCAACAAGCGAATACAGCTAGTTGTTCTGGATTCCGCAACTGTAAGTGGACTCCACAAAGTGTAGATCGTTTCCGCAAATGTAAGAAGAATCCACAAAATTTGTAAGCGGAATCCGCAAATAAAATCGGATTCCGCAAACTGTAAGAGGATTCAGATTTTTGTTTCTTACTGAACTTGCATATGAACGATTAAAAGCTAGAGCTGGAATTCTTATCTATAGCAATGCGGAGTTTAAAGGCAAGGACGTAACCATTGTCAGCGGAATTCCCGAACAAATCTCAAAACATTTGTTAACTAAATCGGTGGATGTCACCTTTTAGTATTTTGGAAACGCAACACCGAATAAGTTCAATATTTGTAGCCATTGGGTTGAGAGTGTATGGAACGACAGCACACAGCATACAGCATATCGCCGAATTAGGTCAGTTTTTGGGATTGCATCAATCCCAAATACTGATGATCTATTAGATTCCGATTTTAGTGAATTGATATTGAAGATGAGATCGGAGTTAACAGGATTTGAGATCGAATTTGGGTTGAACGGAATCAAAACCAAACGTTTGGTATTTCAACTGGTATTTGATCAAGGTAGTAATTGAGATTGATTTTTCTGGTGACCAGTAATTGAAGTATATAATTTTAAACGCTATACTACACATATACATACATGTAAACGGAATCCGCAAACAAAATAAGAATTTCACTTTCAATATGCGGATTCCACTTACAATTTGCGGATTCAGCTTACGGTTGCGGAATCCGCAACATCGCCATTTAACCTTACAAATGTCTTAATATTTGTTTGTGGATTCCAGAAACTGCTCTGGTTTCTTCAAAAACGATTGCGGACTCCACAAAATTGCCTATTTTTGGAGCGATTTTGAGCGGTACAGTGTTTTAGGTATTTGTTTGTGGAATCCAAAACAGCAAAAAATATCATATTACCAATGATCACGAGTCTCAGAATCAACCAAGGAGTATCCAGCAAAATAGATCAAGCTCAGCAAAATATTCAGCTTTTGTAGTTGAAACAAACTATACTTTCAAGGAGATGATTGAAAAATCAAAAAAGATTTTAAAAATCAGTATCTATGTGTTATTGCACAATCAGCACAATTTATACCATATTAGAGAAACCCATATATATGAATTTTTGAAAAAGATGATTGAAAAATTCCAAAAAATGACAAAATAAATCGTTATAATACTGAAAAAGAGCTTAGCGAAACTTTTTCGGCATGTAATACAAAGAAAAAACTAAGAAGCCGACTTATAAAACCCATTCATGTAAGAAAATGATGGTTACTCGTGTAAACTTTATCTAGAACTACCTTTTGATACTGAATGGTAGCTTTTTGCAAAACACTTAAAATTGAAGAGACCAAATTGGTAACTTTTTCAACATACGCTAAGAGTTCTGGTAATTTGCGAAAATGAAAATTCACTAATTCTTTTTAATAATTTCTACGCTAATAATATCTAATAAAGGGTTAGAAAACCTGTATTTTTCATTCTCAGGGATGCAGTCAAAATTATTTTATAATTTTTTTCTGTATGTAATAACTGTTTCAAGGAAATGCAATTATTACGATTCAGAAAACCATCTCTTGTGTTTTTAATATAACCAGCAAATCATAAAGTTTTATTTTCGATGTTTGAAGTGAATGGCTGAAACACGAGTCAAGCCAAGGTTGATAAGTCTGTAATAAAAATCTGCTCTGTCTTAAACTGCTCTGAGAACTGTCAATTTTAGCTTTTTGGCTTCAATCCAACAAACATACTTCATACTCCGTAAAAAAATTTTAAAAATTTTGGAAACAGTGCTCACAATCCTTTTGATGAGATTCAAAATGATGTCTTCTATTCTAAATTTGGTGCACACTATTCACAATTTGTCAAAAATAGTGATCTTAAGGAAGAGTTTCTAGCGCAGCTCGCTTAACGTTTTGCGAGGTTGATTTAGAAATTATGGCACAATGCAAAAATTAGAACCGAAAGTTCTTTGCCGGAAAATTAGATATGATAATTAAAGCACGTCACAAACTGACCGAAGCCAATAACTAAACATTGGTAAAATACTTTGAGATTATCAAGGTATTTGGTTCTGTGACACCCAAATTTTCTTTAAAAAATAGAGGAATTGAACAAAAAACATATCAAGCAACTCTATTAAAAACTCTACATAAAACTCTGATAAAAAAAACAGTTACTTCCAAATAAAAAAAAGTGTATGAAAAGCTTTTGATACGTATTTTTTTCATAGATTGTATGATCAAAACTGTATGAAAAGCTTTATTTTGTCATGAACACCCCATGGGCCTACTAATTCAAAAACTCTCATTACAATTTTGGCCTCGCCAACCGAAGGGTCCCACATTGGTAGCGCGCGCATGAAGTTAATTCATTTGACAGCTCAATTGCAAATTGCAAACAAATTTGTTGTATCAAGACGACGCCCTCAATTTTCCAACTGCCCTTTTTTGTCCGTGGACTATTGTTTAACTTTAAAAATGGTGAAAAATTTAGAAAAAAGCACAAATTTTATGAACAATTTTTTTTTCTCGAAAATCATCCCTTTGCCCTGATTTACGAGCAGTCTTGTGTTCATAATGCTCAAAGCGTAATAGTAATTATTTGCGAAAAATACCGCACAACAACTTTGTCCAAAATTGAATTTTGAGGCAAGCCAATCGGTCGTTTTAATTTCTTATGACTCAAATTTTTCCACTTGATCTTTGATTTTGACCAAAGTTTATCGTTTTTCAATATTTTTTAAACAAAAACTATGAATAAAAGGGCAGTCTGAACATTCAGGGCTTTGCAAGTCTGAACATTCTGAACCATCTGGTCTTTTTTAATTGAAAATTTTACCATTTTAGGTGTATGATCTTTCGTACACACCTCTTCAAATATGTGTATTGTCTTTTTAATCTTGAAGATCATTCTCATTTTTGTCTCATTTAGCCATGTTCTTTCCTACCAAGATCACCTGTGAGCATGGGAAGATCAACTATTTCCTCAGATGGGATGACGAATTCCCGTGGAAAAGGGAAAAAAAGAACCCTTCTAACCCGCCTCCCCCACCCTAAAACTACTACGGCTTTTAGGTGACATCGTAAAAAAGAGTTCACATTAAGAAAAAAGTAACACAAGAGATCAAATATCTAGAAAAGGAGCAAACTCTATCATTCGCCCATAGATTTGCATTTGATACATTTTAGCTCACGCGTAATTCTACACAAATAAGGAAACGTGATTCCTCCAGCGGAAAAGAAAAAATTGAGAAAAAAATTGATCAATTTTAATTGAGTTCGCCAGGGCTATGAAAAAACAAGTGGAAGCTAGGATTTTCTTGAGGGCGGGGCAAATTTGTTTTTGAGTTTTTCTTTTCTAGCTTGAACAGTTTAGTTTTTCAAGCTCTCTTCCATTGCACAACAAGACTGCCCGTATCAGGACGAAGCCCTGAATGTTTCGACTACCTTTTAAGGTCATCTATGGAGCAGTAATAAGATGAAAAAATGAAATATTTTTAATTTTGCGATTTTTGTAAAAATTATCCTCCCACACGTCATATAAAGTACAAAGTGATAGATTTTGCTCCTAACAACTGTTCAATTATGGCATATAAGCTTCCTTGAACCTATTTGGAACGATTTCTAAGACTGATTAAATTCCCGAAATATATCGCGCGTTAATTGTCCCAAATTGGTCAAAATGGCAATCTATAAACCCCCATAACTTTACAAAAAATGATAACAGGTAAATTGAATAGA